CCATCTTCAAATCTGAACATTTGAAATGAGGCAGAATATTACTCCGACTATTTTCTATGACTCGATAATCCACAAGACACCAAAAACGTTCCAGGATGCCAAAACAACTGCAGATCCTGAGAGACTATTTTTGGTTCAATGTCGGGGACATCTCGACGCTTGTACTGATTCCCTCCTCCCCCAGCGCCACAATTTTTACGTCCCGCATCGCATTTGAGTGGTTGTGACGTCATTTTGGTGTCCGCAAGTTCCGAGTTCGACCCTCGAATGTTGTTTGTCCCGAATTTCTTCTCCTTTTAATTCCTCCAAGATAAATGCCACGATAGTGTCTTAAAGTAGGCCACGTCCAAGTTCATACACAACCTTTAAAATTCATCATACGCTGTCACTCTCTAATGTAAACCCATATGACTTAAGTAACTGAGTAATTCAGTATCAAAGCAAGATTTGTGTTTCTCATATCGGTGAGTACAAGATGGCTTCCTTCTGGGTTGTGGCGCCGTGTAATCTGGTAGAAGTTTACCGACGTTTCAGAAGTGATTTAAGCCTCCATCATCAGGGCGACGTGTAGCTCTTATCACAGAGATATCATAGGCCTGATGATAAAGGAAGCAAGGACTTCTGAAACGTCGATAAACGTCTACCAGACAGTAGCTACTGTCAATAGAAATTCTGAAATGTTATATGACAACAGATTTTTTAAAAAAATATCCAACATTTATGAGATTATTTTGTGGAATGTCGATTGTCTTGGCAACTGTGAGAATATTTGATTTGGTTTTCTGTTTAAATTTCGATAAGTGACGAAAAATTTAAATTAAGTATACGTACGCATAATGTTACCGGCTTGAAAGTGTTTGGTCTGCTTACAAGTTAATATCACTTTTCAAAACTACGATGTAAGTAAACTGGAAATATTTAGAATAAAATAATATTCGTACAGGCACGTTCTCAGTTCAAAAATTCTTTGGTGAAAGACTCACTTAGAAACGTAGCCAATACGTTTTTAAGATCAACTGCTTCTTGAAGAATCCCGTATTTCATTACACCCTCGTCATATCATGATGACAGCCAGAGTTGTACAAAGTAGATTCTTGACCGATGTACATGAGATGATCTTTCCATCTTTTCAGTTAAGCCCATAAACTCAGAACACAATATGAACCTTATTTCGTCTGTCATCCTTCGTAATTTCTTGTACAAACTGCAGGGACAAACATCTAATAATTTCTGTACGACCTTCCAAACTATTTCAGTGTTGTAAAGTCTTTATTGGTCATGACTGGCGCTGGTTACACCGCCAAGTCTTCACTCTGTCGGTACTATTCAGTTTTCGCTGATGGCGTCTTCCCACAAACCCCTTATAACCTCTCTCGTCTTGGCAGATCTGCATTAAACTTGTACATAAAGAAATGTATCAGAGATATATCTGCTTATATCTCACCATGCACACAACACATCATACTTTCTCGATTTGGTTCTCAATTTTGAGCAATTTCTTCTCGAAACTTCCCAAATGGCGAGTTACGTAATCAAAGATGTCTGCCTTCTGGGTTGTATCGCTGTGTAGTCTGTTAATTTGCTAACGTTTCGGAGTTGTGATGCTGAGAAAGGAAGTACCTCCGAAACGTCGGTAAACTTCTACCAGACTACACGGCGCCACAACACAAAGAAAGAATAAATAAATTGTTGTTTTTACGTCTGTTCTAATCTACTCGTAAGAAATCTATGGAAACTTTAATTACTTTGTAAGAACTCTTTATATTATTTTAAGTAGGCCGTTGTAAATTGATCTTTAAATTGTTTTGGCCTGATGATTAATTTATATCTCTGGCTTCTGCGGTGTTTAAAGACGTTTCATAAGTGTCCTCATTAATTAATAACAGTAACTTGTAATTCCAAGCTTTGCAGCACACATTTGTAATAACGTCGAATACACTAAAGTACATTACCCACACTGCACTTCTCTGTCTCGCCTCAACACATTTTCATCCTCCACTTGCTGTGGGCCTTTGGTGTCGTCATTGTCTGGACACTGCATCTGTTTCACGGAAAGCAAGGCTTTCACAGTACTGTGATGTGTGCCTAAATGCCTCGAAGCCATCCATTTAGAGGCGAAGCGATTTCGACCGCTGAGCTCTTCGAAAAGCTCGTTGCCGATCTGGCCAGGGGCACGGACGTATCGCGTCACTGCGCCACACAGACATTAGACTCACATTATATATATTTTATAACAGCTAAGTAATAAAAAAACTGCTATTTAACAAGTAGCAGTCTCTTTGTTTGTTATTTGATACGAAATTATATACTTTCGTGTGGTTATGTCTGGTCTTTGTATTCATACCAACTGAGTACTTCTTCTGAAATGGATGCAAATATAAGTCAGTGGTGTGTTAATTATGTAGATTTACTGTGTCCTCCAGGAATTTTACCCACGTTCAGTGCTCTCTCGCCTTATAAATTCAACATTTTATAATTACCCTTCATTCCTACCCTTCGTTTCATCGAGTCACAGGAAACACTTATGTTACGATACAATGCTGTGGATTCTATGAAGTTTTGTATGGTGGCTGCCTGTTTGTGGCTACTGCCAGTTCTGTAACTACAAACAACAAAATTTTTTTGTTTGATTTTGTAATGCATAATATACGAAAGCTTCAAGGAAAAAAACACAAAGACTGGTTAAAGTCTACTGACTCCTTTGTCGCCTTAACACGTGTTACTTCTCACCACGTGGCTTTGTTCGGTGTAAACCTTTATGAAGTACATTCTAGAAGGATCACCTTTTATTGTCATTAATTTATTGGGGATGGTGGATCATGGCGAAGAACAGAAGTTAGTTCCATCTGAAGGTAAAAATTTGTATTTTTAACTAACATAAGAAAATCAGCATTCACATAGGAATTATACGCATGATTGATGTGTTAATAGGTTAATTCCGACGGGACATAAAGGATAGTAAAATATAGCCAGATCGTATCTTGGTGAGTGAAATAATATTTGAATAAATTCCAGGTGTAATAAGTAGCCTACAGACATCACATATTTGTCGCGAAAATTATCGAATAAAAAGTGACATTGATAATTGAATTAAAATCACACGGACCGATACGCAATCACTTGATATTCTAGAGATAAGAGTTTCGTCCACTCCCCCCCCCCCAAACATATCAAAGTACCATTTTAATGAACATCCCCAAAGCGGTTTATCTTATCGGGAAACAGATTTAACTGCAAGAGTTAATACTTGTATTTCTATTTGCCCAGTGCCTGCAGATTTGATACCATATCCATGGTATTAAGAGGTCCGTTCAGTAACTGTTACAGTTTCAAAGCCATGCGAAATCCAGAGGAAAAACAAAATGACCTAAAATGTCGTAAAATATCCTAAATAGAAAAATTATCAATCGATAATTATCTGAACACGAAACATTTAAATTCAGTTTTATTTATTTTAATCCTTCGTAATGTCCTTTGATTTGGATCGTGTTTTCACCTGAGGATCGCACAGAGCATCCATTTACTAATGTTTATGTTATGTCCACAGTTCGTGTATATTTATTTTTAGTTTCAATTTGCATTACCCTCTTACAATATCTGCACCTAACCTAACCTAACCTAACCGAACCGAACCTAACCTAACCTCACCTAACCTAACCTAACCTAACCTAACCTAACCTAACCTAACCTAACCTAACCTAACCTAACCGAACGTAAAATAACCTAACCTACCCTAACCTAACCTAACCTAACCTAACCTAAACTAACATAACCTAACCTAATCCAACCTAACCTAATCCAACCTAACGTAAAATAACCTAACCTAACCTTTCCTAATACCTTATACCAATAAATTAGTAACACTTGATAATTTTATATAGACATTTTTCAGTGTTCAGTTCTGTTAAAATCCTTGTCTGTTTTAATTTATTTAACTGCAAAAACTTCCATGCACTTTAATGTAGTTAGCATCTTTTCTCGCCAGACATCGGTATTGCACGGAGGATGGGGGGGTGGATCATCATTTCTCAGATCAACTTGAAAATCCCTACCTTCCTCCTTGCTACACCCCCAATTCTAATTCCTTATACAGTACAACACTCCTTAGACAACTTGTTTCGTTTCGCAATAAAACACTTATAAGCCCTTTCGTCCCGCTTTTGAAGACATTATTGCGTTCAGATTTCCAAGTAAATGTAAATTGATGTAGTTCCGACCGCGGAGTGATATCAAAATACAAGCACAGTCTGTGTGTAGGGGCCTAGGATTTCTACAAGACTTATGGAACTTGTACAGCTTTCGAGCTTTCGCTCCCAACAGTAGCTACTGTGTGAGGTATCCAAACCCAGAAAACTCTTGCACATTTTCATCGCTCGGAGGCAGCACCATCGCTTTGGAGTTTATCTAAAACACTACACTTCCTTTTATAACATTTTCAAAAGTCACTCATGCAGAAAACCGTTCAGTGGAATTCAAGTTGCTTTCTTACGTACGTACAGATCGTGGCAAAAACATTAGCTACTTTGAGATGTCAGTAAATACGTAATAAAACAGGCTAAAATACAACTAATATATTGGAAATGACTGTAATGGAAATAATAAGGAGGATCGATTGACGAAGATTGGAAAATAACGAAGAATGTAATGGAGAAAAATAAGATAAATTCGATATAGGACAAACACAGGAAAGATCAGTTTGTTAGACGAAATTAAACATCCGAATCTGGGTATATTTTGAACAGATGTCAACGTAAGAAATACATAACGCCATTGGCCAGAGTCAATCTCAAGGGAATATAATTCTTTGAGCTGGTCAACAGATTCTCCGGCTTTTAAAATAGTTCAGCATTTTCGCCTTGTTTAAGTTTTTATTTTGTACGTACATTGTACTATTTTCATTGAAAGTTGCGATTTAATACAATTCGATTGGACTCACGAATATAAATAATTTAAGAACCCACGAAGGTCACGTCGTGTTCATTTTCGAAAATTACCTGGCATCTCGTTCTCACTTAACTTTCCAGAATGAGTTTAGGGATACATTTCTCGATTGTTATCTGTCACATATATCGATATCTCGTCTCGTAAGCCGTTTCCGTGACACTGGGACCCATCACCGGCTTGAATCAGACGTTACATAACTGAACCCAATACGATTTAAAATTATTTATTTTTTATTATTTTAATATAATATATTTTTTACGAATAAAATACGAATCAAGAATTTGTTAAGTGAATTTTCGTTCTTGCATATGTCCAGTTGAATTTAGGTGGCATATCACGTAATCTGATAAATAATTGGAATGATATCTACAGATTTATCCAGAAATTACTGATAGAAAAACACGAAAAAATATCTGTTATAACACTAAAAAGTTAATGTTTTTTTTTGGTTAAAAATTGCGTTTGGGGGGTCCCTGTAAGCGGGATGGACGTTATAGTGGCTTTTCTGGGTTGATTATGATATGTATCGAATTAGAAAGACCATGTCGATTCGATTAGTATCGTTGTATCGTGCCGAATTCGATGGTTGGATGATGTTGAAGCATCTGTTAGGCGTCTTCACTACTTTGGACCGCGCTGTACCGAAGGCCACGCTTTCATTTCATCTTCTTCTGCTCTGTATCTGACAGTTAACTCTTACAGCTGCTCTCTGGAACGGAAACACAAGCCTGTAACAAAAGAACACGGAAAGGAGTGAAAGTTGGAGAAAGTAATGGAAAGTCGCAGAACGTTTTCTGGCAAGAAGGTACCAACAAACTGCCCTATTCTACAAAAGGAATTATGAGCTAAAAACGGACTTATTAATCCGGGACTTACTCGTGATATTCGGTTGTCATACGTTTCTTAAATTCCTTCGTAATAATCCACGAATATTGACGAAAGGTAATCAAATTTGTCTGTATCGTACACAGAAAATAAATGTCCGATGATGAACAGCCCACACTTATATGTGTTTTAAATTCATGAACTGATTAGCAAGCCGGATTATTTATGTAGTCGAATGGACCATGTATACTTACTTATTATTTTTATGAAGAGAATTACCGACGTCTTAAATATATATTTTAAAACGAAGGGAAGAATTTGGTGCGGTTAACCATGTCTGTTGCTTATGATAAAACAGGCGGAAAGACTTATAAATGTTAATTTTATACGAATAACGTTACAATGCAATGGGGAATTTAATTGTATTTATTAAAATACTGATAGAAAATATTGGGTTCATATTAGAAACATTTATTTAATACGTAAAACTCTTGGCATATTATATTTTAAATAACTGCTATATAAATCTAAATTAAGGTTTTACGTTAATAAATCTTCTATCATAAGGCTTTAACTGTAAGCCTTCTAAATGTTGACTTGTAAGTAGAATATGGGCAGTTTTTACAGTCGCACAGTCGCCCCAATACGTCAGAATATGCCAGTAATTTATTTTGATATGAGATAAATTTTCTGGCAAACATTTAAAGTTTTGAAGATCGCGAAACGTGCAGTTGATAAAGTGTCGTTATATAAATAAAACAGAGAAGCAGGGAAACAGGTGAATTATCTTTAAGCAGCGAAATCGAGACGGATGTGGCAGATTGCTTCACTCGAACAAGATTTGAACTCAGAACTACTTTGTACCGAGTTAATGTTGTCTTGGCATGACATCGCGTTCGTGGCCGAGGGCTAATTGAAACGATGCTGAACCTCGTAACTGCCTTTCGACACGAGAGGAGGCCAAATAATGGAATTCACAAAGCGTCGATTTGGACGTCGAAATACGTAAGGTGACTGCATTGATAAGTTTCCGGCCAATGACAGATAAATATTGAAGCTATTAGAGTATATTCTTTTTATACATTGCCTGCAGTCCAATTATGATTTTAAAATATCACCAACCTGTAAATATACACTCGTATATATTTACGTATTAGAGAATTGTCAGTAATGATGGAATGTCATTTACAATACCTCGAATAAAAGATAAAATGTACAGTAATGTTCTTGCATTTTAGCAGAATACGACTCAGCATAGCGTAGGATAGTTTTAGTGTAACCGATACTGTATACTATTTTATCACAAGGTATGACTATAATTCTTTTTAAGCCGAGTTAAAATTATTTAATAAATAAATTCGATATATTCGGCTGGATATAATTTATTTTAGAAATGTATTTTTTTAAATTAAATATATTTTGTGTGAAGGCTGTTTGTAAGCCGTCGCGGCTACGTAATCCCCCTGATGATGGAGTCGGAAACGACTTTCGAAACATCGGTAAACTTGTAACAGACTACACAGCGGTACAACCTGAAATCTTGCTTATAATGTTACTGGGTTTATCAGTTGTCGATGTAACTTTTGAAATGAAATGCTTTGTTCAGACAGTTGATTTGAGATGAAATGAGGATAAGTACGAAACGTCGGAAGAATTTGACAGAAGAGAGAAATAATTAAGACAGAGTCAGGAATAAGACAGAAAATAAATTATGAAATGATAATTCCGCGTTAATATTTTAATATTTTCCGTCAAATTTCTTATATGTATTTTTCATGTCTTACGCATGCGTATAAGAATAAAATATAAGCTTCAGTGAATATTAAAATTTGTCCATCTTACAGGAAGGAAAATTTGAATTCTTTCATAATGTCGTCTGTGAAATGTTTCGCAGATGAGGGACGCCGTTCCCTGTGCGTCTTGAAACTGATGACGTCGTATGTCATGGACTGGATTTGTCAAAATGTCGGACTGCGAGAAAAGCGTCCCCTAGGCACGTGACCTCGGTGTTTTTTTTAAGTGCATCAGACGTTTTCTAGTGACGTACATTGTGAAGAGTTTCTTTCTTTTTTGAAAGCTCTGTGCCTACACACGCATATTAACGTATATTAATTCTTTAAAACTTATTTAATCGTATTTGCTGTCGACACACGTCACATTCTTTATTCATTGAAATTTATTCTGTTGACATGTGACGCGCGTAGGACTTGGTACAATTTAGTCTTGATGCAAATGGACAGCATCTGTTAGAGGTCCTTGATGTCTCCATCATCAGGGCTGATGATGGAGGCAGCAGGGCCTCGGAAACGTTGATGAAATTCTACCGTACTACCCAGAAGACAGCCAACTTTGGACTCGTTGCCGTGAAAAAGTCAAGATCTGTTTTGTTGATTCACGTTGTATCATAAGGTGTGCGACTGAACTGCCCTAATGTAATTAAGGTTAATGAAGTGATGGTCCAGCGAACTATTTTGATGTCACCTGAAAGCTTTGAGACCTGACTTTGAGTAAGAAACAAATTGGCTTCGATCATGTCAGCGTGTTGTCTGATGCTATAGACCAGAGGTTCCCAAAGTGTGGGGCGCGCCGTCCTGGGGGGGGGGGAGTGGTTTTATGGAAAAAAAAGGGGGCGTGTTGTTTGTATTAAAAACGTTTTTAACGAAATATTGAGAAACATTTTTAACATCCTTCGCTTGGTTGAGGCATTTCAGCATCGTTCATGATTGTAGTTTTATCAGCACATATAAATAATAACTTCTGCCTCCTAGAACACACATGTAGAACCATGATTATGGCACGTGTTACTTGGCAAAACACGTATTCAGTTGCTGTTTTGTGCTTACAAAAGTCTTTGCTCGATTAGACACATACAGATTTTATTACGTGTAACACAGCTGTGTGGACAATATAAATCTTAGGTTAGCATTATAGCCGAAATTACTCTACTTCTGAGTTATATCTTTACAGATTTTGTGTCTCCGAATCACAAGCTTTTTGATGTTTTCCAACATAACCATCTCTAATGAATTGTTCTGTTTTCTTACTGTAGATAGGAATTATTATCTCTGAAGTTCTGATTAATCATCCACAATTCAGATGATAAATTCCTGAATTTTACGTCGGATTTTATACAGATAATTCCCTATAATTCTTAATTTCATATCATTAATACAACTTATTATTTTCTTATAAGTTGTCTCTTCATCAACCTTAAAATAATTCCATTCGAATTTGTCCCCATTACTTCCTAGTTTCAAACATTTTAATATTATCTTTACCCTCTCCAAAACCCTCCCCTCACCCTCCCAGCTTCGAAATACCAGTCTCAATCAGTACTAGACCACTTCTAACACATTCCTTAATGAACACACTCTTTTAACGTTGAATAACGTTTATGAAATCACGGCACACTCGACGGAATTTAACGCTGGTGTGTAACGTCTTCAAACGCCAAGAACTCGAGACCTACGTAAGATAGAGAATATAAACCTAAATGTAAATTGAAGTTTAAATACAGAGCTTTTTCTACGTGATGTTTCATTTGTTCTATAAATTGTCGAAATAATTACCCAAAACACGTAATAACTACACCCTCGTTTCTTAACTTCAACCGCTCGCCACGTCTAAAGCGTGAGAGTTAGATCGGACAAATTGCGACTGAAATACGTAAATAAACAGGAGCTTTTCAAATTTGCAAACAGATTTAAGCTAACTCTTACGGTTTAGGAGTTTTGGGCATTTATTTGGAAACAAAGAACGGTTCTAGAGCGAGTATGGACGCAACACACAGATAAGCTGTCGGAGGATGACGTCACGTATAGATAAGACGTAAAGATATACATTAGAATTTTATCTCGGTACAAATATACCTTATACAGTTAAACGTTCTTCAACGTTAACTAGGGAACCCCATTTCAGGTCTTGGCAATTACTCCCGTCTTGTAACAGATTAATTGGGTCCGAACCTTGGTCATATCTGGTGTTAGTGAGTAACTATTTAATTGGGTGTTCGGGGTAATTTGTGGGTGCGTTGGATCTGGTTGGATGATTTACTGAAAAAAAGTAGTCGGAAGGAGGTCGAGCTCTGAGCAGGTTAAATATTCCCGATGCGATGTTGAGAAGTTGCTTGTGGTTTTTTAAATGATGAATCAGATTTATGCCTGTATTTGGAATAGGATAAGTTAGTCGCTGTTGAATGTACTTGACATTAATAACACAGAATAGCAAAGTAATTACACTTGTACCTTGTGGAATAATTAAATATGTTTGTGCAGTTCTGTTATATTTAGTGTTACTTCGATTTTAGTTCAAATTTAAAATCTGCACTGTTTTTAATATTGTGTAACCTCCCAAAAACTTTGTCGAAAACGTGCTTCGTTCGAAATTTGTTATTCCAACCTCATAAACCACCTCCTTCCACAGATAAACACGTTTTAAGTCTTAAATACGTTTGGCTGATTACATAAATGTTAAAAATTGGTCTCAAGTACCATGAATATATTCTAAGATTCAAATTTCGTTAGTTACCGTTCGCCAAGAAAGACAAATTTTGTTTTTTAAAATCCATGCAGCCTTCCGTAATCCATTTGTCATTTTAAAATGCGGCAGTTTCTGGAAGCTTCCTGCTCGCTCAGCGCGTTAAGGTAGACGACGCACTTTGCATACGTCAACGATGCCACTTTTAAAACACTACGCTTTGTGTACGTTCTTTTGGTGGTCTCAAAACACTTTTAAAACACTACGCGTTGTGTACGTTCTTTTGGTGGTCTCAAATTTATAAATACGATTTTAATTCATAAATTTAAGAATATCGGAAGTAAATGTTGTTATCTTTTCTGCTGGAATCTGTATTTACCTGATATTCTACATGTTCAGAACATCCTATAAAGTCAATGATATGTAAATATTTCTATCGTCACTGGCTTGTCTGTCGTGCTTCGTTCAATGTCTGTACCGACCTCAAAATCTCATCCAAGGAGTCCTGCCGATTGACTAAGAAGAGCGGAGACCAAGGTCTTTCAGGTGCTGTAGATCCACATATAGACAAAGCTTCGTCTTTAAATAACCTAAAAACCAATCACACCGCACATGCGCACTCCGTGTGCCACCTCCAATATCCCCCACCCACCCCCTACCTCGCAGTTCTATGAGCAATTCACACGCAATCCTCCCTCCGCCTGTGTAGAAGAAACAGGACACGGAAGATATGCGATAGTAAGACTTACATACGTAGGCATCGCCCGATGTCTGAAGTACGTTCTGCGAGCTGATTTAAATCATATATAAATTTCTATATATTTATAATTTTCCCAGATTTCGCCCTATGGCCCCCACCCCACGTGACTCACATGAATTATGTCACGTGACTGTACTACCTTGATCGCTATATGTCATTAACCAGCTGTGCTGTGGTCAATGCGCTCTTCGAACGAGCTGTTGTTACGTGAAGTCGAAGTTTTCTTGGTGGAACGTGTGTTTTGTTATGGAGGGGAACCCCCGATCTCACGTAACACATCGCAATAAGGCGAGTGAAACTTTCTCACGCCCCCCACACCAAGGTCGTCGGCGGAGGACAGTGTGACGGTCACGTGTTACCACTACAAAGCTCGTGTTTATCAACGCAAAACATCTGTTCTTGTATCCTTACGAGACGACGTACAAAGAACTGAAAGCATGTGCAGGGACCAAGCCTCCACGGCCCTTCTGATCGATGTGTTCAGTGAGCGATTACTTTCAAGCGGGATTTGGCCACCGAGGTCGCCCGACTTCAGTCCCCCTGATTTTTATGGCCGCGGACAACTCCAAAAGTGTCTGCCATTGTCTATAATTTTATTAGATATGTAATCGTGGTTAATTATTAAGCGTTGGTTACGTTTTCAACGCGCATTTTAATGGTAAGTCAACACCGTGAGGTTTATGTCTGTGTCTTTTACTGGTTCACGTAGAATTTAACAATCGCTGTGTATTTTTCCATTCGTGAAAAACGACTAATAGCCATTCAGTTGTTTGCTTCTAGGGGACAATTAACAGACGAGATAGATCCTCCTCATTGATGTTAATGCCATCGGCTCACGTTATTTAACAACCTCGTGCGTGTAAGCTTAAGGGTTTGTATCTTCACAGGAAAATTCCTATGGTCGGATCGAACTTTTTACAATCGTATTTGAACCGTAAATTGATATTAATCCTTTCGCTGTATAGATAAATCTCTTGAAATAAACGGGAAAGCTTTGAAATACAAGTGGAAAGCAGCCAACATTTACGATAGAAATGTCACTTTTAAATCTGCATAACGATTCGGAGAGGATTATAGGAAATTTAAAATTATTCTTGATTTTATTATAATCACGGTCGAAATGGTCTGTGTTTATTGCTGTGAATATTATTAAGGAACATGGCGGTGAATTGGTTAGCTCGCCAGCTTCGTATTTGGTGGTTTTGGCTTCGTATCTTTGTCGGGTCGTCTACGAATTTCACTTTTTCCTTTATTAAACGCTGGGACGAAAACTTAAAAGAGGTTAAATCGTTCATAATTACCTTTAAATATACCCTGTGTCATTAGAAACTACATAAACTCAGCAGTTGGAGCAGTGTCATTGAACCAAAAATAGCTGTCGAATGGTTAGACCTAGGTACTTTGTATGTAGTTGGTCCGAAGTTCGAATCTTGGTTCCGACACCGGACAAAGCTGCGTCAGGGTTTCCGTGGATTTTCCAAGTTATTCCAGGGAAAATGCCTTGTATTTGAAGTAGGCCACGGCAATTTTATTTCAATAGGCCTAGCTCTAAAACAAAATACTTCAATTATTACCTCATGGATGTATAATGCTTCGAGCAGTTGGGTGTTAATCTTCAGGTGTTTTATTTATATAAATGTCACGAAGAAATATATTTTATCATAAAATGATGGAAAATGTATTTTAATATAAACAGAACGTAGGTTTTTCTTGAACTCATGTTATGGATGCCGTTGGAATGTTTGAGAAACTCATTTCGATTTGAATGTGATCTCACGACAACAAGATGGCGGAATGCGCTTCTCCGATACGCGGCAGAACAGGTCTCTGCCAGAAATGTATCTGACGCCTTAATACCCTCTGAGCGCCATTTCCCGGTTCTCCCCTGAATTACTATGCTCCGTCAGAGACATTAATTTACTTTAGAATTACCAATACTTAAAGCTACTCAACTGTTGTGTTCGAAGCTCCATCAATGAAATTACGCGGTTGAGAGGATTTTATTGAATTCCACCAAGACCTCGGGACTGATAGAGGATTTCCATGGTTTTACTCAGTCTTTTCTGATGGTTCCGGCTATGAAATAGGTCACGACACTTTCTTTCTCGTCATTTTAATTTCACTGGTTAACATTCTATATTAAACGTCCGCGGCATTTGATATTAAGTCCTTAACCAACGAATCTAGGTGAATAAGAGTCACGCGCTCTGCCGCTGTGTGTACCTGATCGGTTTCATGAGTCCCGATGATATAGACTACGTGTCCTCATTAATTCGATGCGTCAGTCTTTCAGTGGTGAACGAGTAACTTGGCTCTGCGTTATATTCGCGAGGTAATCAGTTCTTTGTCGTCCCATGGGACGCTAATAACTTCTAAACGAGCGCCGTGGCAAACAGACGAATTAAAACCTACGCAAAATTCGATCTTACATGCCTTTATACAATTGATAATAATGCATCTTTAAAAATGTTTCCTTTATTCCGTGTCATAACAAGGGATGACAAAAACGAATTTCTCACATGACCGCGTCGTCTGGGACACGGGTTTGAATCTCTCTGAAGGCATTGATGTATGTTTTTCTATTTTGTGCTATTGTGTGCAGGTAGAGAGGAGTAACAAGCCACGGTGGTCTAGCGGTTAGAACGCTGGCCTTGTAATCCTGGGGTCTCGGGTTCGAATTTATAACTTGTGTTGGGCAAGGCCGTGGTCTAGGCAACACGGAGTTTTCCTCCGTGGCATCCCAACAATTACTCCATTCACACACAGAAGAAGGCAATGGCAAACCACTTCTCGATCATCTGCCAAGAACGTATATGAACAAGTCCCAGTCCGAGAAAAGGATTGTGTTGGGCAAGGCCGTGGTCTAGGCAACACGGAGTTTTCCTCCGTGGCATCCCAACAATTACTCCATTCACACACAGAAGAAGGCAATGGCAAACCACTTCTGGATCATCTGCCAAGAACGTATATGAACAGGCCCCAGTCCGAGAAAAGGATGGAAGGATCCTGTTCATATGGACCTGTCGTCAGACAGAACACTAAATAATAATAAAAATACAGAGGTGTCCAAGAGAATCTTATAAAATTTTCATGTTCAATGCAGATTAATTCTAATATGTTCCTGTCACACATTTCTAAGTCTCTGATAACATACGAGGTGCGATCGGAAAGTTTCTAGACTGCGCCTATAAAAACCCGTACACTTATCTCAGGTATTAAATTCATCCATCACCCTCGAAGTAGTTCCCCTGGGAGTGAACACAACGATCCCAGCGCCGCTGCCAAGCCTGGAAGCATCCCTGGAAATCTTTCTTTGTCAGCCTGTCAAGCACCATCTGCGATTCTGCCTGAATCTCTTCTATCGTCTCAAATCTCCTTCCCTTTAGCTGAATTTTCATCTTTGGGAATATTATTAATATTAATTCTTAGCCGTGTTCGATGTGAGATTCTTGACAATTTGACGCAATCTTCTGTCGTATTTGATTGGCTCAGGGATGAAACCGTATGAACGGAACAAGGACTTCGCCAATGGCTTACAGCCATCGGATGACAGCGACGCTTAGCGTATTATATATGCAGTCACATGCATCCTCATGGCCGCCAGCACTCTCAAGTGTTTCCGGTGCAAGATTGACAAAAAATGATTTTTGAATCGAAATAATACAGTCTCTGGTTTGGACGAAGAAGATCTGCCACACGCCAGTGTGATGCCCTGAGGTTTCTCGAATGTTATCGCCGTGTAGTCTCGTAGACATTCACCGACGTTTCAGAGGTGCTTACTGTTTCCATCGTCACAGAAAAGTCATATTCATCACTAACCAACGCGAGAACTTGAAATCTCAATATTCCAGATGAATTTCTTCTCAAAGTTTCTATTCCGGATGAACACAGACGGTTTTCGAAATCTGTCGCTACATTTTCGAGTCCTGAATAAAACCATCCTACCTCAAAACGTAAAAGAGAAAATGATTTCGGATTCAAGACAGAAAGATATTATTAGATATTAATCTGTTATATAATTTAAAGAAGGTAAATGAATGGTTAAATCAAAAGTTTAAATGCATGTAGCGTGAATCAATGCCGGGGGGGGGGGGGGGGGGGGGGGGGGAGGGGAGAGACATCTAGGTAGAACGACGAGCTGTTTTTGAAGCCCTGGAATTGGAATGATGGTTGAGTAGATTTCTAAATGTAGAAATTGCATGTCTGAGACCCATGTATCGGTATACATTTCATTCTGTAGATTGAATTGTAGTTTGCATCGGGTTAACTGTCTGCAAACATTTCATTATTCGAGGGTTCTCGTGAACGTACATGGAACATTCATTAATTTGAGGAGGCCGGGAATAGTAAACCCTTTCAGCGACTTGTGTTACGGAGTTAGAAGGTTTCTGTTTCGATGTTTGCAAGGGAGTCCTTGTGATTTGATAGGCCTATGTTGCTGTAATTATGGATGAATTTTACCTACGTTGGCGTATTAATCCCACTCTGTCCGTCGAGTCGTCCACCAGATAACGCCTACGTACCTGCCACCGCGATGTCTGATTCGTTATTACAGGGGGCACCTGGCTGTAATGGAACGGTAAATGCAGATCGCCATGTATATTAACCGTGGGCTCACAAGAAGTTCATGGGAACTGTCATGACGAATTACAATTTATCTTTTTCATTGTAATTTCCCTCGTAAATTGTGGTTAAATCCCAGTTTGAATTTTTTACGACAGATATTATGTCTATATTTACACTGTGATAGTGTGGGTTACGCGGGGACTTTATTTAATCTGCTGTCAGATTAATCTTAGCT